CTCAACAGCCAAGGTTAGTACACTGATTATTTGAATCCAATCTCCTTGTGTGTGTTAGATGCATGGAATATATAATAATGAGAAACCTTCTAACTGTCAAAACATGAAATCTGGATGTTATAACAGAACATGAATCTAGAAAGAAGAACAAGGCAGCAGGAAATATCAGAGGCACAATATCAGATTCAGAATTATAAGGAAATGATTCACCAAGAAGAAAGCAACAATGATGTAAAATTACTCCTAATTCAAAACAGTTGACACAAACAATAAATAAATAAGAACTAATGGCTTCTTCATTTTCTTGCAGGTTTCAATTGCTTCCCTTATGCAACTAATACAAGCACCAGTCGAGTTTGATCAACTACTTGAGGTAAGAAACACAATTCAATGATGCAATGAAAAAAAGAAGAATCTGATAAAAAGCTATATAAGTACTCAGCTGCTTGCTTTTTTCATGAAGCAGAATAATATGTATGTCACAAGTAGATGTGATGATTATCCAACATCAGTGAACTCACAAGAAGCAATTAAGGAAGTGCAGTCAACTCGTTACCAAATATTTGCAGGCACAAATTGTTCCAGTGACCTTTCAAATACCTACAGATACAAAAAGGTGAGCAAAATCATTGCTTAGAATCAAAAAATGCCAACATAAGAAGGTTGTTTTTCGACTAAAATATATTTCAATGTAGGGAGGCTACACTAAACTTATGATTGAACAGATCAGGAACTCTCAGGAAGATAATCAGACTAACTGGAATACGTAGGTAAAATTTATAATACAACTACACAAAAATTACAATTCAGACATATGCAAATTACACACATATGTGCAATGTAATTTCAGCATAACAGTACTTTAATTTCAATGCTTCATTATAAACTATGCAACAACATGAAGAGATGCAAGGATCATTAAAAAAGATGATATTTGGAAATGATAGGAATGAGGTAAAACTATATTATATATGCTTGTCAAACTAGTTGTGTTATATTATAAATGATAACCATTCTCATTATCAAACAAATAAAACAGAATATGAGACTTGAAGATCTGGATGGAATCTTTGGACCACAAACTGATTGGTCAATATCAGAGTCAAGGTTGTCATATGAGGTAGATATAGACAGCTGATCCAATTTGATTACATTTATAAGCAATACAAATATGTACTGGCATCAAAGTAAAACTTATCTTTGCAAAAATAGGATGGAGAAATGGCAATCGTCACTGATGATGATGGAGCAACGACAAGCATAGCTGATGATGATAGATCTGAAATTCAATAATACCATTGGCAAACTGATGTATTCAAACATGGACATTGATGAGGTACATAAAAAATGATCTCTTCAACTATTTCAGTCCACATTGAAAAAAATATTTGTATTATAAATGACATTACTCAGAAACTAAGACTGCTGCTAATATATTTACAGGTGCAGCATGAAAATCAAGATGACCAACCAACAATGGGAGAAATTGACTTGAGGATCATAGCAACAGAACCAACAAGTTCAGATATTACATCAGCTATAACAGATGATAATGAGCATATAAATGGCAGCCAGGAACTAACGGAGGAAGAGATTGAAGAATTCATAAAAAATGAGCAGGTTACAGCATCTGGAGGCAACAATGCACCAATCAACAGCAAGTACACACCACAGCTATCGATGGAATTTAAGACTAGGGATGATGCTCACCATTTCTTCAACTTCTATGTGTTCCTAGCCGGATTTCAAGTTGCCATAACACATACGACAAGAACTCAAAGTAAGAAGAGAAATAATGAGGTAGTCAAAGTGACAATGAGATGCACTCGTCAAGGAAAAGAAAAGGAACCAAAGTGTTTAGAGCAAGAAGAAGCTGAAGTAGACAAGGATGTTGGAAAGAAACCGGTAAGGAGAAGGAAAACAAATGTTCAGCAGAAGTCAGATTGTCCTTGTGTTATGATGGTGAAAGAAGAAGGAGGTGTATGGAAGATTAAAACTCTTGATTTGGAGCATAATCATGAGCTATGCCCAGGAGACAGGGATTAGCTATTTTCTGGTCACAAGTATATGACAGAAATGGAAAAAGGACTTATCAAGACTCTGAACGATAACAATATCCCAACTAGGAAGATAGTTTCTATTCTATCGTATCTGAGAGGGGGGCTTACAGCTCTACCGATGAAAAAGAAAGATATCAGCAACTACAGGACAAGGTAGAACAGAGAAGTTAAAGGATCAGATATGACACAAGTACTGGATTATTTCAAAAAGAAACAAACTAAGGATCCGTCTTTCTTTTACAAGTTTGATTTAGATGAGGACAAGAGAGTGAGAAACTTATTCTGGACAGACTGTTCTTCTATGAAGTATTATGCAGATTATGGAGAATGTGTAAGTTTTGACACAACATATATGACCAACCGATATAACTTACCTTTTGCACCATTTGTTGGAATCACAGGACATGGGCAAAGTGCCTTTTTGGATGTGCTTTCCTGCATGATGAGACAGTGGACACTTTTAAGTGGGCATTTCAAACTTTCCTTGAAGCAATAGGAGGAAAACACCCTCAAACGATCATCACAGACCAAGACATGGCGATGAAATCAGCAATAGAGGAAGTCTTCATAAACACAAAGCACAGAAATTGCTTGTTCCACATAAAGACCAAATGCTACAATAAGAATGTCAAGGTCTTTGCAGCAAACGAAGGACTATATGAAGACTTCGAAGATATAGTGAACAATAGTCTAACAGTGGAAGAATTTGAACGACTTTGGAAGAGAATGATTGAGGAAAGAAACCTTCAAGGGAATCACTACTTTTCCAAAATGTGGGAAATGAGGAAAAGGTTTATCCCGGTCTACTACAAAAATGACTTCTTCCCTTTCGTACAGACCACATCCAGGAGTGTGGCAACAAATGCAAGGATCAAAGACAATGTAGGGCCAACCTATAGTATCATTAGCTTTCTGAAAGAGTACAATCGGATTGTTGATACCATAAATCAAGCAGAAATGCTAGAGGACAGCTATAGCAAGCAGAAAAGGCCAAAGGAGTTTATATTCAGCTACAGAATAGAGCAGCAGGCACAACAGCTATACAACAGAAACATATTCAAAAAGTTCCGGCTACAACTGAAGGCAACATCAAAGCTGAACTACAGGGAAACCGAAGATGGGAAAACATTTGAGGTGTGGCAAAAAAGTAACCAGATTCAGGAGGTTCATAGGTTTAGGAGATATACAGTAAACACTGACCTAACAGAAGGCGAAGAAGAATTTACCTGCATATGTTCAAAATTCAGCAAAGATGGGGTACTCTGCTCTCATATCCTAAAAATAGTCATTGAAAAGGAAATCAGCATAATTCTAGATAAATACTTCTTAGATAGGTGGAGAAAAAAGGATATGAAGGTACATGTTGAAAGACAAGAAGAAGAAACAGTTGCAATAAGCTCATTGTTGAGATTCAACATATTATCCAGGAGATCAACAATACTAAATTCAAAAGGATCAAAAATGAGAAAGCCATGGAATACCTTATGGCAGGATTCGACAAGATGGAAATCAATTTAGATAGAATGTTATCTGCTCAACAAACAGGTGAAGCACAAAATGACCAGCAAGGAAATGAAGAAGGAGAAACTATAGCAGCACAAGCTGGAGATCCACAGACTGAAATAGATGATCCAGAAAGAATTCAGAGAAAAGGAAGACCACCTAAACCTGTCAGAATGAAGACACATATAGAAGAAATAAAGAAGAAACTAGTGGCAGCAGAAAAGAAGAAAAAGATGAAAACAAATGACACAGACAGTGCAGGTAAAAATTTTTAGGAGATATAAATAGAATTTTAGTACATACAAAATAGAATTTGAATCCAAATGCAAAAATTCTTATTTATGTGAACTAATAATGTTTTATAGGCTCTCCAGTGAAGCCAAAAAGAAAGAAGAGGAAAGAAACATCAAATGGTAGCATTGATCACCAAGCAACAGAACACTGAGGACATGGTAATCAAAGATGATTAATAGATAGAAAGCGAAATTTATCAATCAGAAGGAGGGATGCAGTCAAATTCAGTGGCCAATTAATTTATGTAATTTGTTTAATGAATAGGATGTCACATTCTTAAATTAAATTATGCCCAGAACTACAATTACATATGCTAAGAACTAAAATTGCAGTGCCCAATAGCTGCAAATTACATTGTTGGTGATTGCAATTGTGTAACAAAGTTCAAGATGTGTTAGCATAAATCACAAGAGACAATTTTTTTCTATGAAAGGACAAGGAAAAACAAGAGGGGTGTGCTAGCACAAATCACAATTAACAAAGTTCAAGATGTGTTAGCACAAATCACAATAGAATTATTTTTCTATAAAAGGAGAAGGACAAAAACTTGGTGTAGGCAGCCATAAATCACGATTAACAGAGGAACTACAACAACTTCAACACCACTAGTGAACTACAACAGCTATGGATAAGGAGGTCCATGAACTTCAACAACTTCATATGTCAACTCAAAAAACAACAACCTCACCTGAAATTTTGCAACAGTCTTAGGTGTCCTGAAGAGGCCCTACAGAGACTGCAGGCAACTGAGCTTCTTCCTTGTATTTTGCTTGAGCAAATAGTTCCTAGAAACTTTGCACAACCTGCAGTACAATATCATATTTTTTTAACCAGACTTTTAAGTGTGATCAAAAGTAATAAGCACCGCTTCACTACAGTTCTGCAATCACAGCATAGGCCAAAGAAAAATGACTGTATGGTACATTAGAAGCTGCAGGGCAAAAGGAAATCAAATTGCTCACCATGGTCAAGGTTTATGTTGCAAAGTTCCACTGAACACACCCTAATAAAAATCAAACACAAGTTAAGAACAATAGATAAACTTGTTGTGCCGAAATATTGGCTGCTAACTACAATAGATTTATTTACCAATTTGTATAGATGGAACTGACAGCCACCAGCCTCAACGCGAACACTAATTGGCTAGTCAGCAACTGCATTATGTATTGATTTCTCATTATTTTCAAGCACATCTTCAAAGTCAACCAAAGTAACTGCGGCCTGGACAGGCTTCTTTCCACTAAGCATGATTGCAGCAGATTTCTTCATCAACATGCTATCTGCAGCCTATAAGATACACAATAATTGGTACGATGAACTTAGCCCGGCATGTACAGAGAGAATATACAATCCTAACAAATGCTAAAAATGAAAGAATTATTAAAATAAAAATGCACTTACATAGATAGTCAAGCCCTTGTTTCTTTAAACGAAGAACCATCTCATTTTCTAGTGCACGAACTTGGTCTAGTATATAGACAACCTGGACAGCAACAAAGTAAACTCATGATTTTCAATAAGTGTAGGATCAGGAAAATGGTTGGTTCTTACACTGAAGCTGCAACCACAATGTCAGACCCAAACTAATTATCGTGCGTTCAGATTAGCTGGAGAATGTTCAAATTAAAAATGTGGAAATATATGTTGGGCCTCAGATTAGCATTTTGGCACCACTACAAAGTTTTTACCCTACTAGCTTCACAAATGCATTCTAAAGACACAAACACACACACTAATTCTCAAGCCGAATTAGATCTATTCCTTAAAGAGAAGACTTGTATTAAAATAGAAATGAGATGCACTCCTTAAAAATGTACTGTCTAGTGCTTACACTGAAACAAAAGACCCATTTCTAGTCCCAAATAGCCCATCCAGAAGAATATCGATGCCCTAAAGCAAGAACAATTGCATGCTCTAAGTTAACTAAAATAGTGACAAAGTTATTTATAAAGACCAGATATTGCACATGTTACACACCATAATTGCAGTAGTTGAAGTGTGCAATTTACTACTAATAAATGTGCAATCAAAAAAATGGTGCTTCTACATTATGAACTGCATAACAATGAAGGCATAATCATGTGAGGGGAAATCATATTTGTAATTTTGATTTAGGCATATCTATCTAAAGCAGATTGTAAGACACAAGTTGTGCAAAATGGAGCAGATAGTACTGCATACATATCATTTTTTCCATAATTGATATTAAACAGGAGAATTTGTGAGAGCCTTTTATTGCAGTCTGCAGGTACAAAACGTTAACTGTCGAGTGCATACGACAAAACAAATAATATCTAAAAACCTGGTTTAAAGTAACCTGCTGCGTTACTGACAACTTGACAGCTGCATTAAAATTATGCTGCTTACAATCAGTGCCAACATTAAGAGTTAACCAGGATAACGGCCTTCCTGTTTGAGACAATGTTTCTGAGCTAGCATGCTGACACCCAGATGAATGGCCTAGTTTCATCCGCAAAGCAACCACATAGGGATATATATATTGCCAGTTTAATCCACTAAGCCTCGTACAGAATATATATGTGCTCCCTCCAGTCCAATATATATGACATCCCCACCGCAGGGGCCAGTTCAGTTAACAAAGACTGCTTTGTCGGAACGTCATATAAATATGGCCAGAGGTAGGCAGGTAGTAGCATCTAATTTATTATGCAACTTCAATAAATGCCCTAATCCTAGTCACGTCCAAAAGGGAAATCTTTAAATGCTCAATTGAAGGAAAAACATACCTGCCCCAGCTAATGTCGAGCCCAGAAATTTCAACAGAGGAACAACCATCGTCTTCCCACTTCAAAGTGATTGTGTTTTTGGATAATCCTGTCAGCTAAATAATAAGACAGTCATCGCTTAGTAGAAAAATCTTTGACTCGCCATGATCTGTATCCACTTCTCCATCATAACTACAACTGAGAAATCAGTACAATATTCACTTACAATGTCAGCAGTTGCCAACTTAATGGCTTCCAACTTCGGAAAGCAAGCCCGTTTACTCTACAAAATGAAAAATGAATTTAAGAACACATAATCATTAGATGTTAGTTTTCCAGTGCACAAATAATCAACATATTATCTTTTCTTCCAACAAACAGAACTGCTGAAATATTTGAAAAAAGGTTGTACCAACTGCAATGAATTACTTGCAGCAGCTGATGTCCTTCGTTGAGACTGTACCCAAGAATCCAGAACATATAAGCCAACTGAAATTTACAAAAAGTGCTCGGACTTAGAAAGCTATCAAACAACAATGCTCAAGGCTGTGGACAATAACAAATTATAGCCAATGATGTGTCCCCCTAAGTACTATTTTCTAATTAAGTTACATAACTTGGAAGAAATTAGACCCAGTCAAATCTTGAGGTTATTAAAGCGCTACAAAGCTGCAGACTCTAGCATTTGTATTTATGATGTCAGTGCATCATGGGATGCTCTTTTTTTTATCTAGGCAAAACTTTGTAACTTGGGAGGATTGGTACTTAGTACTCTTTCTAAAGCACATAAGCATGGTTTTCTCCAAAAGGTTTGCTTTCATTCAACCTGGTTGTGAGCAATATAAGAAAAATAATGTAAACCTAGTGCAGCAAAAGGATCTATAGAGAAACAAATGGACTCTGTAAAACAATAGGCTGTCTTGGGAAACAAAAAAAACAATGCTATGTAAACCTACTGCAACAGCAGGAGCTCTTCCAAGTCCAGCAGTACAATGTATATATGTTACACCACCATTACAGTTGATAAGCTTGTGCAGTTTGCTAACCACAGCAGGAAGCCTCAATCGCAAATCAAAAGCATCAAAATCCCTGTTGTGATTAAACATAGGAACAGTTTAAATATGCAGAATAAGGGCAATAAGGGAAAAAAGCGGGCACTTAGATCAATGCTAGGAAAACAAACTGGCAACTGGCATATAAGTGTCGTTCGATGGAAATACAGATCATCTATTTCCTCAAGAGACTATACAGCTTATAAACTTAACTAATGGGCATTACCCCATGGTGAAAAGGATTTGCTTAATTGTATATAAACAAGGCCAGTGATTTATGCCACAAAGTTTTTGGCCCTAAACTTCCAAAAAGAAATAACGACTGTTTGGGTACCTAATTTCAGCACGGCAGTGCATGATATCTTTGAATTAAAGAGAATAATCTTGAATGGCACCGATGTCAACTCCAAAATATCTGAACAAGTTGGATGGTAAAGGAAGAAAGATATATTCACGGAATGGAAGCATCAGATGGCAGTGGAAACGACAAAAGACCATTTTATTAAAATACAAATAAACTTTTAGAAGATGTTTTGTGCTGCATTGACCAACATAGACGCATAAAAGATTAGACTACTAGGGCTGAAGTTCATTTTTATAGATATTGGTATCTAACATAGTTAGCATGAAAAGGGAGTAACCCAGGTAGTTTCTCAGTTCAAATCAGAGGTAGCATCTATTAATTCATAACAAAATTACAAAGACTGGGTGACTGTTTTGTTGTGTTTGTTGCTGAAATGAAGGGATTAACTTTACAACTGCTAAACGAGTTGTCTGGTTTAGCAAATTTGAGCCCTTAAAAGGGCGTATGAAATTGATGGTTTCAAATCAAAAGATTGGTAAAGGTAGCTGATTATGCATTACAAAATATTAGTGGGGATACTCAAGATCTGAATCTTGCTGCAAGCAGAATACAGTTTTTACACCAATCTTCCGAAGCTTATCAACATCAAGTGGGCTCTGCACATGAATGCAGATAATAAGACAGAGGTAGCGACTATGGAGCGATATTTCTGTATAAAGAAGGATGTGACAAGCACCTGTAAGCTGGATCCTATAATCAAGTCTGGGCGTATGAAATTGTGTAGTTCATTCCAAGTTCATGTCTATATGTCAACGCTATAGTAACAAGGAAAAAAGGAACACATATCAGAGAAGTTAATAGACCAAACTTACTAAAAGAGTAATGCAATCACAGGGGTTAGATGGCAAGCACAATGTTGAAGCATGAAGTGGGAACACAATTGTTATTGCAACAAAACTACATGTGAAGCACTATCGCAGGATCTGGTTTTGGCAGACTGGACATGGTAAGTTAAACATTCAGGAACAACTGTTCATAATCGCCAAAATGTGTTCGAATCCAGGAAGCAGACAGAAAGGAAACTGTCAGACTGGAATGGAGAGTGAGTGTTTGTTACACATGTGGTCTGATCACGCTGACAGCTCAACACTCTGATTGTGACACACGTAGGAGTCTAGGAAATATTTTATTTCCCGGCTATAAATTCATCAAGTCAGCAATCAATTTGCCCAAAATGTGATAAGACAGTTAGCGTCTAACAAGGCCTAACACTACAAGCAGCACACGCAGAAGCAGACATTCTCTTTACCTGCCCCATAGCCTGCGTCATGTTAGTGCTGTACACTTCAGACTTCTCGGTGCCCATCTCCACGGCGCTGCTCTCGGCGCCGGAAGTGGACACCCCTGGTGCCTACAACTGGCAACCCACAACACATTGATTCAACAGCCGAGGGTCGTCAACGAGGTAACAAAACGACACTAGCACTGACAGGAAGAGTAACCGGCGATTCAGCCATTGTAGCCTGCCAGCCTCTATTGAGATGATACCTTATTCTCTGAGGATAAGATTTCCGTTGTTGGAATGAAATCAGAAATGACGAGGTGGCGTTAAGGCTTACAGTTTTGACGGTGTTTGATCGGCGACTGCCGCCGCGAACCATCGCCTAACCGCCCAGAGACAATGAAATCAGATTGAGAAAAAACATAATAGAATGTCCCCAGAAACACACGGATGGATAGGTCCGAAGCCTCACCAGATTAAGTGGAGAGGGCCGCCTCATCGACCTGGATCCCACGATTGGAGGCTCCCTGGAGGAAAATCCATGAGCGGAGCGGGGCAGGCGAGCGCGTAACCGGAGGACGAACATAAGCGAATCAAGGAGGTAGGGAGGGAGACGGGGTGGGGAGGGGGCGCTTACTTGAGCAGGTACTGGAGGCGGTTCACAAAAATGTCGCACAAAAATCACCAACAGATCATAGGGGTGTGAATACGAGACGGAGAACACAATAACAAGGTTGGATTCACACAACAGAAGTGATAGAATTGAATAGAAATTCACAAACCCTTGAAATCGCCAGCAGATTGCCCTCTGCCCCCCATCCGCCGTGCAGGTTCCCCACCCTCCTCCCAGCCTCGAGAGAAATGAATACAAAACGGCGCGACTCCCGAGATTTAAAAAAATAAAAAATAAATAAAAAAGCCGCCGCAACCCACAGCTCAGCCCGTGTGCGGAGGGGGCGCTAGCACGAATCGCAACGCGCGATGGACGGACACAAAATCCATGCGTTTTTTGGTGGTAAAACACATGTGTGTTGTATAGCATTCCTGCATCCTAAAACTAAAAGATGCATGCAATTCTAGAGTTTAGATTGAGCCCGTCTTCCTTGAGTTTAACTAAGTTTAAAGAAAATACTATTAATATTTATGACTCGTACTTTGAAAATATATTTTATGATTAATTTTTAACGATATTTATGTGGCCATGTTATAAATGTTAATGTTTTTATATATATATTTTTGGGTCTGGAAAGTGGAAACTTGCGTGATTCAGCAAGAAAGCTGCATCATACCGGTTCTACAAAGTAGTCCTGCTGTCCCAAAAGAATAGTTTTAGGATAAATCTGCAAGTTTTTCTAAATTTACATAAAATAAGATATCTGCAAATATGTTTATACTATTAAAAGGGATAACATGCTGGGGATTGAAAGAAACAAGAGGCCACCTCTAGCAGCTACAACATAACCCAAAGATAGTTGACTCCTTTGATATAATAAATCTCAGTCTCTAAATCATTATTTGGAGAGTCATTTGCATAAAAATCGTTTTCTATATCTTTCCATTCTCCAACAGTTTTTCTATATTTTGTTTGCACTCTAGAGATTCATTATAAAAATCGCTTTATATATTTTTCTAATGGCTGTGTTGACAATGGCAGCATAACTATACTATTATAAAAATATCCATTCATTATATTCCCATGAGAACAAGATCTCCCAAATCTTCGCGCGCGCGCGTTGGTGGGTTGGCTGGAGGGGGAAGGTGGAGCAGGTAGGTGCACATGTTGCTCTTCAATACAGTCGGTGCCATGTTGCCTAACTAGCAAGAGTATTTTACTCCGTCTATTTTAAATTATAAGTCGTTAAAGCATATTACTTTTGCTACGCACCTATATATATATTATTATTATCTCTGTATGTATAGTAGAAATAATGTATTTAGAAAACTTAAAATAACTTATAATTTAGCACCGGGGAGTATATGTAATGCACCGTACTCCTACTTATTAGCGGTGGTTTAATAAAGCGTATAATAATCTGTCGTGCTAGAGATAAGCTACCTAAACTAGTTTTTTTGTTACTGTGCTGCAGGTTCGGGTTCGCTGCCTCTGAATTTTGAAATAGTAAGCTGGCCCACGGCCCACGCCCCACTCACCTCCTCGATCGACGGACGTGGAGGGTCCAACAGTCCACTCCGGCTGGGCGCCGCCTCCGTCCCGCCCTCCGATGATAATAAGGCGACAAGGCAGGGCAGCTGCCTGGAAAATCTAGCCAGTTAAACTTTGCTTTTGTTGGTTGAATTGCTGGCCAGCACGGAGGATAGGATCATCAGCTGTGACGTGTGCAGGCAGGGTCTAGCAGGCCCATGCGCCGCCTCCGAGGCTCCGACCCAGCACTTGCCTGGAAACTCCGGCGAGCCCACCTCACACAGCCACAGCCCCCACCCCCACCGGCCACCGCCGATGATGAAATGAAACGTATAAAGTCATTGAAAGTGGGGACTGGACTTGCATTGGGAGCTGACCATTCTCAGCCTCACTCACATACAGCTCCACCGTACGTGGTGTGGTACTCCCTCCGCCGTATACCACTTCCTCATCAACCATGGCCGCCGGGCCACTGCCACAGGAGGAGCTGCACCTGGACTTTCTCCTCCATCCCGACCCGCCCTCCCCCTCCGTCTCCCTCGACGTCCCGCCCACGCCTCCACCGCCCAACCACTTGGACGACGACGATATGGTGCTCCCCTACATCTCCCACATGCTCATGGAGGAGGACGCTCACGCCCACAGCTTCTTCTACCAGTGCCCCGACCACCCCTCGCTGCTCAACGCCCAGCAGCCCTTCGCCGACATCCTAGCCGACGCTGCTGGGTCTCCCGCCTCCCGTCCTACGCCACCTCTGGTCTCACGTCCCCTCCCCCCCTCCCCCCGTCTCTCTCTATATATATCTGTCGCCAGGCATGCAATGGGTTTCGGGCTGGCCCGACTGTTGAAATGTGATTTCAGGCCAACATATTTGTTTCACCAATATTTATTAGGTCTACCTGTCTGTGCGAAACAGTTAAGTTATTTGCCATAATCGGCGACAATCGTAAGGGTTATCTGGAGTTGGCTCCGGCCCCACGGCGCGACTCCTTGTTCCAGGAATCCAGGAGGCTACATATCGGATCTACATCGAGTTCTTCATCAAGAGAGAGCACTAGCTCTCAGATTGGTGAAGATAAGTTCATCTACATCAAGTACACGAACACAGATGGTATCTACCGACCCTGGTTAGTATCTGAGATTAATTTCTGCATTAAGATGAGTTAGTGATCATGCTTAGGCTAAAATTAAGATCCTGTTTAATCTAAGTTTTATTTCAACACCGGCCCGTTAGTCGTGGCGTGCTTTTTGGGCCTGCCCGGCAGGCCGTACCTGGGCTGCTGGCCAGGCACGAAGCGCAGTTTGGCATGGTGGCCCGGCGATCCGATGTGCCATGCCGGGCGGCCCATTTGCACATCTATAGCGGCATGTTCCCTCAGGGCCGTACCTAGGATTTAGAGGCCCCTGAACAAAATACACGATGGGGCCTTAAAATTCAAGAAAAATCTAAGCATACTTTCACTTAATTATAAAGCTTCAGGATATATATGGGTCTTACACTACTAAGAACAGATCAAATATTAATGCTAAAAGAGTAAAAAGTAGTACTCAAGTAACACACTACCATCCCTAACAACTAGCATAGTAGTATCATGGCACGAGAAAGTAAAATGGCAAAGAGAAAAATGAACATCCCGGGAAGCAGGCTGGTGGACATGGTCATTGGGCCTTACGTTGGTGAGTTGATCCAATTAACAAACCAGAGATTGTAACTTTCAAGCCTTTTTTGGAATATGCTACATATTTTTCTATTTAAAAGATTAGCTATTATTTATTAGTACTTCCTGCAAATTCGGAGGCCCTTAAATTTTGGAAGCCCTGAACACTTGCCCACCTTACTCCTGTCAATCTACGGGCCTTTCCCTCCGCTGCCGCACACACAACATCCTGACGACCCAACAACAGCATCGTCAGGCCTCTACGGAGCAGGCTACTAGCACTAGCGATAGAACCTGCTGACTAAGCAGATACTAGTGATGATGTGTGATACTGATGGATGCAGAAACTCAGCTCATGTGCTGTGCATTGTACACAGCTGCAGATATTTTGACAAATCATCTTCTCCGTGGAAATCAAAGTTGCTTCTTCCCGGCGCCGGCGGCTTCATTCTCTGTTCCCTCCAAAGTCTAAACAGTTTCAATAGTTGCTGCAATCCTATTCCTACCTAGTACGTACGAGTACTAGCTGCTAGCCAGCAGCCCAGCACGAAGATTCCATCTCTACCTGCCGTTGCAGTCCGTCCATGTCCATGGCGCCCATGCCAGAGGAGCTCGAGCTCCTGGGTGAGCAAGACCGGCGAGACGTGCTGGCTGTGGCTGACCCTGAGCCCGAGCCGTTCTCTCCCTCCATCTTCCTGGACCTCCCGCCGACGCCCAGCCGTCCCGACTGCCACGACGACGACCTGGCATCGGCGGACGACCTCGTCCTCCCCTTCATCTCGCGGATGCTCATGGAGGATGACATCGACGACGCCTTCTTCTACAAGTACCCCGACCACCCCGCGCTCCTCCAAGCCCAGCAGCCCTTCACCGACATCCTCTCCGACGCCACCCCTCCGGACGCCGTCGCCGATGCGGTCACCTTGCAGCTGGAGGACCCAGCGGAGCCGCTCTCACAGTCACAGCTGCTGCTCCAGCAGTCCCCTGCCGACGGTGACGACCTGCAGGCCTTCTTCAGTGGCTGCAACGAGGACGTGCTCAACCTCGCGTTGCTCAAGGGCATGGAAGAGGGCAGCAGGTTCTTGCCCACCAACAACGGGCTCCTCAACAGCATGACCCAAGTGAATACGGGTGGCAAGCTTAAGAACATGCGTAGTACTCTGCAGCAGGACGAAGATGAACCGGACGAGGCCGAGACGAGCAGGAACAGCAAGCTCATGCTGCCTGAGCCGGAAGAAACCGGCGAGATGGTTGACCAAATAGCTCTCAACGTGTGCAGCTCGTGCCTCGGTGAAATACAGAGCTTGCGCTTGACTATTGACGGCGAGCAGGTTGAGAACAACACCCGGACCGGGACCGGGAGCAAGACGAAGAACAAGAAGAAGAAGAACGGCAAGTACTGGGCATATGAGGCTGGGACAGACTTGCACACCTTGCTCATCCACTGTGCGCAGGCGGTGGGCATGAACGACCGCTGGAGCGCGACGCAGAAAAATCAGGAAGCATTCCTCGCCAAGGGGAGACGCTAACCAGAGGCTGGCGCTGTTGGCCTCACAGGATCACCGGCTCACGATAGTTAACCACTCCAGCCGATCTTGCCGAGCACCGACTCAGGCGAGTGGAGCACTTGATGGTCTCGCCGAGCACGCGCTAGTATTACCGAGCACACACTAGCCGTGCAGACCACGTACCGGCGTTGTCCGTACCCACACACTACGGATCGAGCTAGAAGAAGAAGGGAGAACAGAGCAAGCACGCATAATAAAAGACAACAACGTTGGCCGAGGCCCTGTCTGTGTGATGACAAATCTGAGCTCTCTTTACTGAGTTGCCATACATGTCTATTTATACAATTCTAACTATCTAGTCCATGTGCAGCGTCCATGCTGGCACAGTAACTAGATAACCTGACAGGGCTGACTCTACGTCGGCCACTGCCTGTTCCTACAGTGCTGCAGGTGAGCCGTGCGGCGTCTGCACCTGCAGCGGCTACTGTATCACAGCAGGGGGCAAAGTCGGCTCCGCCTTCCCTTGTTGTGTTCACACACAGTAGGCGGCTAAGTCGGCGCCGCCTTCTTCTGCTGTGTTCACACAAGGTGGCAGTAGATTAGCTAACAACCTTCCCCTAATCCTACTGCTAACCCTTGTACCCCCTCTATGCCGATCATCTCCTTCAGCTCCGTGAGTCGAAGTCGTCCGAGCGGCTTGGTGAGGACGTCCACGAGCTGCCGAGTAGTTTCGACGAACTCGATGACGATCTGCCCTCCATCAACACAGTCCCTGAGGAAGTGGAACTTCACGTCAATGTGTTTACTCCGGTCGTGCAGAACTGGATTCTTCGCGATGGCGATGGCGGGCTGGTTGTCCACCATCAGTGCTGGTGGGTGAGCTTCCACGCCGATTAGCTCGCCCAGCAGCCGGCGTAGCCACACAACTTGGCACGCCGCTGTGGCCGCCGCTACGTACTCTGCCTCGCACGTAGATAGCGCCACCACCTTCTGTTTTAGCGACAACCATGAAATTGGGGCCGACCCGAGGAAGACGAGTACGCCAGAGGTGCTCCGTCGTCTGTCGATGTCCCCCGCCATGTCTGCATCGCTGAACACCGTGAGCTGCAGCCTACTTCCCTTGGTCTTTGGGAAGATGATTACATGATTCACCGTCCCCTTGACGTAGCGTAGTAGCCGCTTCACCGCAGCCCAGTGATCCTCTCTGCGATCCTCTATGAAACGACTGACATAGCCCACGGCGAACGCAATGTCCGGCCTCGTGTGAACTAGATAGCGCAGACCGTCGACGATGCTCCGGTAGAGTGTTGCATCCACCTTCGCCGCAGTGCTGGCCTTCGTCAGCTTCAGCCGCTCCTCCATCGGAGTCACGCATGGCTTGCACTCCACCATGCTGCTCCTCTCCAACAGCTTGGAGGCATACGCGCTTTGCCCGAGCGTGAGTTCCTCCTTCCCCTGTCTCACCTCGATGCCGAGGTAGTAGGAGGGCGCCGAGATCGCTCATTCGGAAACGAGCTGCCATCTCTCGCTTGAAGCTGTTGGTATCCTCCGTGCGCGCGCCGGTGACGATTAAGTCATCCACATACACGCTGACCACGAGTTCTTCCTTCCCCCGTCGTCGCGTGTAGAGCGCGTGCTCGGTTGCACACCTCTAAAACCCAAGCTCGCCCAGCGTGGTGTCAAGCTTGGCGTTCCATGCTCGAGGGGCTTGCCTCAGCCCGTAGAGCGCTTTGCACAATTGGAGCACCCTGTGCTCCTCTCCCTTGACAGCGAACCCTGGAGGTTGCCTGACGAAGACCGTTTCTGCCAGCTCGCCGTTGAGGAAGGCTGATTTAACGTCTAAGTGATGGACGCACCAGTCCTTTGCTGCCGCCAAAGCAAGTAGCAAACGGACCGACTCTATGCACGCTACTAGTGCAAAGACCTCCTCGAAGTCGATGTCTTCGCGCTGGACAAAGCCTTGGGCGATGAGGCGTGCCTTGTACTTGACAATGGCGCCGAGCTCGTCCCTTTTGACTTTGTACACCCACTTCAGGCTGATCGGATGGCATCCTGTGGGTGGATCAACGAGCTGCCAAGTCTCATTTTCCTCGATCGCCTTCATCTCCTCCAGCATTGCCCGTCGCCAGTTTCCATCGCACTCGGCTAGCGCGAACGTGGGTGGTTCCTCTGCACTGATGAGTAGCAGCTCTGCATCATTGAGCAGCCTACCCGCCAGACCTGAGGGACTTGTGCTGCCGACGATGTCGTCCAGCCTGCGGAACCTCAACTCCTCACCTTCGTGGTAGGCGTCCACGAACTCAGTGATGTCACTTGGAGGTGAGGCGAACTCGATCGGGGTGATGGAGTCCCTTCTTCCGCCGGAGTACCCTGCATAGCACCTGAAGTGCTCGGCACTGCTTCTGGACTGCTCGTCATAACTCCTGCAGTGTTCGGCCACACTGTAGGAGTGCCCAGCCTTAGTCTTGGAGTGGTCGGAACCACAGTAAGACGTCTTGGCTCCGCCACGGGAGTGCTCGGCACCCATCCTGAAGTGGTCGCCGCCACTGTAGAACCTCCTGGCTCCACTCCTGGCGTGCTCGGCATTCCTCCAGAAGTGCTCGACACTCCTCCCGGAGTGCTCGGCATCCCTCCTGAAGTGCTCGGCACTGCCCCAGAAGTGCTCGACTCTACCGCCGGAGTGCTCGGCGCTCCTCCCGGAGTGCGTGGCACCTGTTCCGCAGCATCTCCACCACCGTGGATGACCAAGTGCTCGACGACGAAGGTGTTGGTGAAGCCTTCCGTTTCCCCCGTGCTCGGACTGTGCCAGTCCCAAGCTGCCTCCTCATTGAACACAACGTCGCGCGAGACAGTCACCTTGTCTCCGCGTGGGTCATAGAGCCGGTACGCCTTGGTACCCTCCGCATAGCCCAGGAACACCATGGGTGTGCTCCTGTCCTCCAGCTTGGTGAGGTTCGGCTTCGTCTTCCTGACGTGGCCGATGCAACCGAATGTCCAGAGGAATGACACGTTCGGCTTGCGCCCGTACCAAGCTTCGAACGGCGTCTTGCCCGTTAGGGCTTTGGTTGGAGCGCGGTTGAGGATGAACACCGCCGTGGTCACCGCCTCTCCCCAGAACTTTGCCGGCATCCCTTTGGCCTTCATCATGGATCAGGCCATGCCGACCACTGTCTGGTTCCGTCGCTCCACCACGCCATTCTGTTGTGGCGACTACGGCGCGGCGTGATGTTGCCCCACACCTTGATCCGCGCAGTACGTAGCAAACTCCACCGAAGTGAATTCGCCACCCCGATCAGTCCTCAGTACACGGAGCTTCTTGCCGCTCTCGGCCTCCGCGCGCGTCTTGAACTTCTTGATCGCCACCGACGCTTCGTCCTTGCTCGTCAGGAGTTGCAGCCACATGTAGCGACTGCAATCGTCCACGAGCAGGAGGAAGTACCGCCGACCACCGCATGTAGCAGGCGTGATCGGCCCGCAGAGGTCGCCGTGAACTAGCTCGAGAGCTTCCTTTGTGCGATACTTGGCCGCCTTTGGGAAAGGTAGCCTCCTCTACTTCCCGGCCAGGCAGCTGTCACACAGCTCGCCTCTATGTTTGATGTGGGGTAGCCCTCGGACCATCTTCCCCAGCCGATCAAGCGCGTCGAAGCTGAGATGTCCGAACCGGGCATGCCACATCCACGGTTCCTCGGAGTGCCTTGCTGCCAGGCAAACTGGCTGCTCTACCTTTAGGTCGAGCAGGTACAACCGGTTCAGGGACCTCTTTACCTTGGCGAGAAGTCGCTGCTCCCGATCTCTGATCCTCAGAACACCGTCTTTGATCAGAACCTCGCTACCGCGCTCATCCAGCTGACCAATGCTGATGATGCTGGAACGCAGCTGCGGGATGTAGTATACATCCGTTAGCGCGCGGTGCTCCCCATTCTGGCATCTGAAGATGATGGTGCCGCGCCCTTGGATAGCCACCCTTGAGCCGTCACCAAACTTCACCGTACCGGTAACATCACCGTCGAGCTCGGAGAAGGAGTCCTTGGAGCCCGTCATGTGGTTATTGGCACCAGAGTCCAGATACCACCGCTGCTCCTGGTCGACGCCCACATGCCCAAGATGGACTTGGGCGCGTGGTTCGTCGAGGTTGACGGTCTTCAGGGCCTTGCTAGATCCTTCCACCGTCGTCGCCTCTTCCCTCTCCATGGCCTCGACGTCGTGCAGTGCACAGAACGTCGCCATAAGGATAGTGGCCTCATCCTCATCATCGGCTTTCGCCAGGTGAGCCTGAGCCTTCTTTTCCTTCTTGCGATTTGGGCACTCCCGTGCCCAATGGCCCATCTTCCCGCAACATCGACAGGCGTTGGAGTCGATTTGCTTCTTCTCCGAAGAAGCCCCGCCACGATGTTTGCCGTTGCCACCGCGACTGGAGGAGGCTGCCTTCCTGGAGTTTCGCCGAGCAGCCCACTCCTCTTCCGTCAGCAGGAGTTTCCCGCTGTCCTTCGTTGCTGTCGCCTGCCCCAAGTGCTCGTCCACCGCCCGCAGACGGCCTGCCACATCCTCGATGGTGAGGGTGGACAAGTCCAGCATCGTCTCTATGGAGAGAGCGATCTGGATGTACTTTGCCGGCACGGAGTGGAGGAATTTGGAGACCGCCTCCTCTTCGTCGATGGTGACGCCATGGCTCTTCAGCTTGCTGATGAGCGTCTGCAGGCGGAGGGAAAAGTCCTCCACCGTTTCACCATCCTTGAACTTGAGGTTTGCGTACTCCTGCTTCAGAAGCTGGGCCGTCGCCTTCTTTGCGCGGTCGGAACCGACGCGCTTTGCCGTAATGACCTCCCACGCCTCCTTAGCTGAGCTTTTCGTCCCCAACGGCTCCCTGTACTCCGCCGGTACAACAACGAGCATAACCTCCAACACTGACATGTCGTCTTCTTCCATGTTGGTGCCCTTGTCAACAGCATTCCAGAGCCGTCGGGCTCTGAGCTTGACCTTCATGGTCACCGACCACTCTCCATAGTTAGTGCGAGTCAGCG